CTATTACTAATAACATTTGCCTAGTTTTTTACCACCAAAATCAGGTACTTTTATCTGCTTCTCTTATAGCAGTTTCTTTGGAGTTTCATTTTAATGTCAAATGGGTCACTTTAAGCTGTTTAAAAATAAAGCTCACAAAAGATAATTTTTGACTGAGAAAGTATTGCTTTGTGATTTGGATGATTGGCAATTACCCACCTAGATTCAAAGGGAATACAGTGTAATTTGACTTGTGCAATTAACTCAATCTTTTTGGTCACTTACCATCCTTAAAATGAGACATGCCAGAGGTAAGACTGAGACTGCGTGTTGAATCCTGCTCTTATCTTGGGTGTCCACTACAAAACTTGCTTTAATTATGCTCTCCATGAAATTATATAAAGGAAAATCTGTCACTGCTGTTTGTTTTTCAGCCGTGTAGCTCAAAAGCCTACATAAACCTGAACGTGAAGCTTGGAGGCCTTGGACCTGACTATGAAGCAATCAAAGAGAAAGTAAGCGGTTCCTATTATATCATCTGCTTTTCAGTTGTGCAAAGTGAACTTAGGCAGGGGAGAATGGCAAAGAAATCACTGCTGGGAAGCAACTTACGGTTGTCTGGTACTTTATGTCCTTGACTCTAGGTCTAGCTTGAGATCCTAAGGGGCAATTCAAATAGAAGGAAAGACAACTGTATTGTGGATAATTTTAACCCTCTAATTTTGTAGTTCCAGGAACAGGGAGTAGTTCACAGAATTCACCAGGGCTAATTGCACATCAGTAAATTATACACCCGTGTGACTGAGTTGCATTGTCATTCCCCATGTAGAAGGACTGCCTAACCTTCAAAGTGGAAGTAAAAGAAGAAGTTGTGTAAATACAAGAAGAAAATAGCTGAATGTGCAATACCCCTGTTGAAATGGAGACAGAATGGTCAGAACAAGTATCGTAACAGTTGGTATCATTTTACCTATTCTCTGCTGATAACGAGGGTCTGGTAGCAGCTGTATATTTAAGGTGCTGCAAACTCCGTCCTGCATACTTTGAGACCCTATTAATCTGACAACAGTTGCTTTATATGGCATTCTTTATAGAAACATTGTCATTATAGGACAGCAGGAAGGAAAAATGATAAAATGATCATCCCTTTGGAGTCATTGAGAATCCCCTGTATTTTCTTCCTCCTGTCCATGAATGAAACAGATAAGAGATCTGACATTGGAATGGACAGTGTGATGCATAGCCCAGGACTCTGTGCGTTTTTAACACCATCATAACACTTCTGGAGCCTGGCATGCCACTGGGGTCTCATTGCATTGAAAGGAAATAATTGACATTGGCTGATAACAGGGGCAAGGTAGAGCGTACTGCTGAATTTGAGCATAATGAATTGCTGGAAATATGAAGACACAGAATATCAGTTAAGCAAATGAAGCATGTCATTCAGGGCCTTAAAAGCAAGTACAGAAGTTTTAAAAGTCATCGCAAAAGCTCACAGAAATGAGCACAGCCAATTTAGAACTGAACAGATACATTGACACATTCAGAATAAAGAGACATCTGTCACATTTCTGTTGAGCTCTATCCTCAATACGGTCCAAGAAGCAGCTCTTAAAAATGAAGAGTGACTAAAAAAGCTGTGCCATTTATCAGGATTTCCTGTTGTGTTCTGCCAAGGAATGATCAATAGCATAGCCAGGTTAAACAGCAACAGAGGTGTAAATGGAAGACTCCAGTAGAAAGTGTTTCATTAATGGATCCACTGAGACATTGAATTAACCATACACTTTTTTCCATTTGTCAGAAAGAGAAGTTAAAGCGACAAAAAGAATATGCAAAGCAAGTTAAGGAACACAATATGAAAAGCATTGCTTCGGTTCAGAGGTTACCCACAAAACCCCAGGTCATATCTTCAGTGTCAAGACAGAAGGTAAGAACAGAGTCCCTTTAAAATACATGCAGGGAGAGATCCTGGACTTTGCACAAAGAAAAAGAAAAGCACAAATTTAACTCACAGTAGGCTATAGTAGTTTCTCCATTTTGATTTTCCTTCTAACTACTCTGAGGACTTCTACTCTCATGGGATCCCGGCAAGTGCTCATCTGTGCATCTATGCTGTTATGGCTGTAGATTATGCCAGGAGTTGCTGGTTTCTTTGCCAACAGCAGTCTTCAGTCCATACATCTGCCTTGCTTTCCATGAGAGTGTATCAAGTGGAAACGGAGCTGTACTCTGTCCAAGCTACCAGCACTCAACTTGGCTTAAACAGCTAGTGGTGTTTTCCTGGGGAAAGGGTGGGAATAACGGAGAGTGGGACCCCCCTAGGAACATTACCCAGTGCAGCACGTGCTCTGCTTCTCATCAGCAGTAGAGGCCACACTGCTGCAAAGTGCGCTTTTCTAATGGACCACAGATATCCTCTTGTTAGCCTATTATCCACCTGCCTGTCAGGCTCACTCGCAAACTCTTTTCACTTCAGTTGCATAGCTACAGTAATTGGTCTTACTTTTCAAGCCTATATAACATCACTTTAGCCTTCAGTGGCCTTCAAAAATAGCCCAAATGAGTAACATCTGACTACCTGACAGTGCCATACACAAACAAACAAAGGGAGGACATTTCCCCTGTTGCAGGAAGTAATAAAGCTCTGGAAATAGCATGTATTTTACCCAATCAGTTCTGCGGGAGCTCACCTGCCTGGTGCTGAACACACACTAGCAGGTATTTCTCCCAGGTGACCAATGAGAACTGCATACTTCAGGAAAACAGTTTTGGAGTTTAATATCCATTTAATTTTTCAGTTACTTGCATTTATTTCCAAACCACACATAAACCACAAAGAGATGCAAGTGCATTCTTTGGATGTCAAAAGGGCTTTGGATTCCTTCAGAAGACTTCCCAGACACTCT